TTTAACAGGTTTTTATTAGTTTTTTATCTCCTAAAAATTATTTTCGTTTTTTATCAGATTATTGTCTCCTAAATATTATTTTCGATTTTTATCAAATTTTTATCTCCTAAATATTATTTTAAAAAATAATTTTGATTTTAATCAAATTTTATCTCCCAAAAATTATTCTAAATATTATTTTCAAATTTTATCAACTTTTATCTCATTAACATTATTTTTTTTTTTTTTTTTTTTTTTTTTTTTTTGTTTTTTTTTTTTTTTTTGGCCAAAAAAAGATTTTATTATTCCATTATGATAAAAAGTTTTAGGGCCTCGTTAAAACCCTGTGGGCCTATCACAGGGAAAAAGAGTACCCCTACAATGGCAATAAAAAATCATAAACGAGCCTATAGAGTCTATTACAATGAAACCCCAAAATGGGGTAAAACTGAAAAAAGCTAAAACTTCTATTCCTATAGCATTCTCGATATTTGTAAAAGGACCCCGGGCAGGGATTAATATGCAATTCCGCCAACTAGGAAAAACTCTCCACATATCTTCATGTAGTTGATTTTGGATTTGAAACTCAGTCTTCATATTGGGGCAGCTATGCAGTATCAAAAAGTCAGCCCACCACGCCATCTTCATTATCGTAACTCCCATAAACCCAGCTGATTGCAACGAAACATACCCCAAACAGAGTTTGGAAGATCCCTAGTTTGAAAAAAATCTTGATAACCCATGTGATTGTATGCCCAAGCCGCTAGCCGATCCGCCACAACATTCTTTTGTCGAACAATATGAGTAATTGAGTAATCCGACGGAAGCATTTCACTACATTGGCGAAGCATATATGTAAGGTCCCAACTAATTGACGACCTCCCATGTATAGCATTGACTACAATCAGAGAATCACTCTCGATAATTACATTACTCAGCCGCAAGGCTTGACAGACCTGTAATCCATCTAAGAGAGCCGACAATTCACCTTTATTATTCGAACCATGGCCATAAAAGGAAGAAAAAGCGGCCACTAATCTCCCGTGACCATCTCGGATTATTCCTCCACCCGCACACAACCCCTCCTTAGACGACCCATCCACATTCAACTTATAACGACCTAACGGAGGCTTCTCCCACCGGAACCAACGGCGAACCGGTTCGCGCACAGGAGCACTCGGCAGCCTCAAACTTTGAAGAATGTTATCTTGGAGCGGAGAGTTCTTCTTTTTTGGTTTGAGCTGCATCGCCACCAATCCCAATTGATGCATAATTTTCCGAATAATCGATAAAGGATTTATATTTTCTTCGTCAAACCGAGCGCTACACCGGGCTTTCCATATCCCATGCATAATAAATACGCACGTCGACAATTTAATTGCCGCAAACGAGTTATAGTCCTTCGTTTGGTAAGACCATAACAGCAAGCTGAGCACAATAGAGTTCTTGTTCCAAGGAGTGTGAAAAATATGCGAGAAGTGACTCCACACCTTAGTGGCACAATCTGAGGAAAGTAACAAATGTTGTATGGATTCCGATCGAGGCACTAGGCAACAGTTACATTTCGAAGCAATGGGGATTCCTTTTTGAATTATGCGGTCATCCACAGGGAGAGCAAGGTGGAATCCTTTCCATAAGAAGGCCGACGAATTAAAAGGGATATATGGCTTCCACAACCTCTCTGCCCACTGGTGACGCCCGCCTGTAACTGCAAGAAGTTCCCAATAATCTTTCGCATAAAACTCCCCAGAACTAGAAAGAGTGCACATCAACTCGTCATCCTTGTCCGGGCGAAGAACCACATGTTGTACACCTATTTGAAGGCTCGGAGGAATGTACTGTAAGAGTTCCTCTAGCCGATCTAAGCCTTCTCGGACCGTTATCTCGTGGTTTAAAAATGTTGGACAGTTGAGCCGTTCCCCAAGCCAATTCTCCCTCCAGAATTTGATATTTCCTTTCCCTATAATCCACCGAGAGATATTCTCAATCAATGGGCCGTGAAGACTTATAGTTTTCCAAATCGC